TGCAGCTTCCTATGAAAAGTATCCGCCGAGAAGGAGAGAGACGAGGGAAGGAGAGGGGACCTTTCTCTGCTCCACAGCGGCTGAGGACTTGGAAAACACCCACCTTCTCGGCTCCCTCGGGTGCCTCTTACAGGACGAGGCAGCGGTGTGAGGTGTCCACGTTTGCAGGCTCCTGCCGGCCCCTTCCTGAGGCGGAGACGCACTTCTGGCTGCAGGTGCACAGAGCTCTGCGCTGACAGTCCCCGACAGGGCAGGGTTTGGGGGTGCTGAGGGCGCAGGGGGCCGTGCAGGCATCAGGGAAGGAGGAAGTCCCACTACACGAAGAGGATGTTTCCTGAGCCGCCTCTCTGCAGCTGAGATTGAAATTATTTTCAAGCCATTTATAGATTTTGAATGTGAGATGCCGGCAAGGAGCCGCCCTTCAGGTGACCTCGCGGCCCCAACCTCAGAGGCGCGAGGACTGAGGGGTGGGGGGTGCGGTGGTGCGTCCAAGTCACCACGTAATGGAAAACAGGTAAAAGGCGCTAAGCCGGCTGGCCAGGGGCAGCGGGCTAGATCCTGACACCGTCTTTTCAAGCAGAGGTCCTGCGGGCTCAGAGTCGGGGCCGCAGTTGAGTCGTGCGCTTCGAGAGCCCATCACGCCCTGGGCGGCCCCAGCCGAGCCGGCCATGCTGGAGATGTCGGCGGGTCCCGTCCACCCAGAGTGCGCTCCCCCTGCGCGGAGCACTGCGCGAGGGCGTCGGGGACGGGCTGCCGGGACGCACGGGCGGCCAGGGTCAGGGGCTGGGCAACATGGCCACGCCCCTCCAGGCTTGTCTCTGTGATGCCGTGGAAACCTCTGGGGCCACCGCTCGCCACCATCGAGCTGGCCACCTCCACCTTCTCCCGCATCCTGAGACACGGGCATGGACGCAGCGCCATCCCACCCAGGCCGGCCGGTTGGCGCCTCGCCTGGCACCAAGGGAACTAGGAGCGAGGCCTCGAGTTCATGTGGAAGGTCCGTCCAGGCAACTCAGCGAAGATGCGTCAGCTGTGGTGACATGGACAGTGGGGCGGGCCCGCGTCCCCAGGCCGTGTGCCGGGACCTGCTCTTCTTCCTGCAGAATCTCAGCTGCCAGGGAAGCTGCCAAGCTTCGAGGGAAAATGAGCTCCTTGGCGAGACGAGGGCACCGGGGTGGATGGGACGATGCCCCCAGCACTGCCTGCCCCGTGTGTCCAGTCCCGGGGAACCCAGCAGTGGCTGCGGGGAAATGTCCAGAAACGGTGGGAACTGGGCCCTCCCTCCACCTCCTGCCCCTGGAGTGCCACGTTTTGGCTGGCATCGTGGCAGGTGTTACTTGAGACCCACCCTCTGTGCCTGCCTGAACTATTCCTAAGCGGACTTGGGGTGACGTCCTTGGGGAACTTTGCACGTCTTGAGGGAGTCAAGCGGAGGGGGACAGGTGAGTGCCACACAGCGCCTCGGCGACACATCTCTGGGTTTAAACTAGAAGAGCACGTTGGCTACCCCTCCCACTCCAAACGTCGTCTCTGGGGCTCCCACCCGCAGCGCCTTCCCACAGACACTCGGGACGGGACCGGGAGTCTCTGCGGCCTGCAGGGGAAGGAGGAGGCACCCCCTTCTCAGCCCATGCCCCGCTCTCGGGATGGAGCCACATGGCGCAGCGGAGCCTGTGCTGCCAGCACTCGTGTGCTGCCAGGGCCTTTGGAGCTCACGTCCCCACGGCCGGGCCGTGGCCCTGTGTGGCACGCCAGGAAATATCCCAGAGTGGCAAAGATGGCCTCACGAGCTATAAACCCACACATTTTACCCCGTAAAAGGCACATTAGTGTCAAGCACAATCCTCCGCCAGCTCCAACTACCACGGGAAGGTCCGGCTCCCACAGAGGGACGGGGCCCCTCTCCGAAGGCACAGGTGTCGCTGGGGCCTCATTAGGAGCAGGTGTCCCCAGCCCTTGAGCCACCTGGCCCGGCCCCCGCTGGTCCTGCCGCCCACAGGCAGAAGACCGTGCCCTGAGGCCCGTGGGTGCACAACGACCGTGTATCTAGCACGTCCTCCGCTGTGGCCTTGGGGACAGCAGTGGGAGCGGGGACCCTCCGCGGGGCCCGCCTCTCCTACCCAGCTCCCTGCACAGCTTCTCGATGCGGCTCGGCGGGTCCCCCTTCTGGTGTAAGCCGCCCAGGCTCCTGCTCCTCGGCAGCTCGGCCGCCTCGCTGGCCGCCTTGTGGTGTCCGGGGGCCGCTCCTGCGGGCAGGGCCCCAGGGCCGGGCCGGTGTCTCCTGTGTGTGGCTGCCGTGTCCCTGTCCATCCCGAGCCGTGGCAGGAGGGCTGCGCTCGCCACCACCTCAGACAGAGGGCATGACTGCCAGCCTCTCGCGGTCCCTTCTCAGAGAAGTGGCCCAAGGGTGTGCCCAGGGGAGCCCCGTTGCCACAGGGCTGCTGTGACATCACCATGGGTCAGAGGCCAAAGGTCGGCCCAGCCCAGTGCAGGCTTTCCTGGAGGCCAGGGCTTGGTGCATGGGTTCCGCCGCCTCCCTTCCCTTTCTGGGTCCTTCCTCAGTTTCTCCACCAGGGAAGGTAGGGAGCGGGACCCACGCCCACCCCGGGTCCTCCCGGCACCAACGCTGAGGCCACAGTGTCTTCGCCACGGTGTCTTCCCTGCCTCGGGCCTCTGGCTATTTCCTGTATTTGAGGACCTTTTTCTCTTCCCCTCAGGGACGAAGCTGGCGTGGTTGCAGCTCGGGAAAACAAAGGAACAGTTCCGAAGGTGGAGGTGACCCGTGGTGACTGGGGCTGCCAACCAACGCTGCCAGTCCCTCCTTGGCCTGCGCGGCAGAAGACAAGGTTCCCCGGTGGCCACGGGCTTCTGAGGCGCCCTCTGGGCACACAGGTTCGAACTGTGCTGACCAAGATGTTTCTGCATCTCGCAGCCTGCGAGCCTCTGCTTGGGCCGCCAGAGCAAAGGACACGGCCCGGGCAGCTGAAACCACAGACACATCCTCTCCCACAGCCTGGAGGCTGACGGGCAAGATCAAGACGTGGCAGGGCTGGTCCCCCTGAGGCCACTCTCCTTAGCTCGTAGACTGTCTTCTCTGTGTCCCCACAGTCACCCCTCTGTGTGTGTCTGTCCTCATGTCCTCTTATGATGACGCTGGTCCTGATGGATCAGGGCCCACCCTAATGACCTTACTGTAAATTAATCAACACTTTAACGGCCCTATCGCCAAATACAGTCACATTCTGAGGTCCTGGGAGTTGGGACTTGAGCTAAGAATTTGGGGTGAAAAGAGTTCAGCCCAACAAAAGATTCCTGACACCCTATTCCAGCAGTTTTTTCCTCCAATCATCCAAGACCATGGCGGGTGTCGGGCAGGCAGAATCTTACCTCTACCCTTTTAGGGTTTTTTAACTGGACCTGAGAAGTGACGTAAGACAGATTAATGGGAGAAAAGCACACAAACTTGGTTTAGTTCTGCACGGCCTGGGAGCCTCCCTGGAAGCCTCATACGGAGAGAGGACCCGGACAAGCGGCAGAACGTGGGCCTCCGCAGAGCGGCACTGCGGGAAAGCCGGGCGCCAGTTTCGGCAGCCTCAGTCTGAACACAGCTCTGTCCTCTCTTCCTGGCACAGGGAACGTCTTCCACTTGGGTTGTTTCCTCCTCTTTCGAGAAGAAAAGGGGAGGTCAGAGCCCCCTTCTTGCATCCACCAGGGTGGGCAGCAGCCCTGCTCCGAGGCTTGCTGCCCCACTGGGACAGTGACCAGGCAGTGGCACTGGCTCAGCTCATACTCTGCCAGCTGGAGCAGGAGGTGACACACGGACCGTCTCTCTTGCTCGTCTGAGCAAGAAAACGAGTGGACATAATTGTGGTCTAGAGAAAGCCAACCGTGACCCCCTCCGGGAGCCTTGGAGGGAGCTGCAGCTCCACATCCCACTCCTGGGACACTCTTGGTGGGTCTGGGGGAGATTTGAGTCTCCACATCTGCTGGGGTCTTGTACTTTCTGCCCTTGTACCTCCTCCCTGGCGGGGCCGACCCTCTCAGCCCTCCTGATTCCCTCTGCCAGCCAACACCAGCTCAGCCATGCCGAGTGCCAACTGAGCCCTCTGGTTCTGGGCGCTGTCCCAAGCCCTGCCATGGAGGCTCAGCTCTGGGCTGGCCCAGCAGCCTCGTGGGCAGGTGCTCACGGCCGGGGCACCGGATGCTCCCCACCCCCAGCCCCTGGGCCCACCCACCACCCACAGCTGCCCAGGCCCTGTCCAGCCCTCACCCTAACTCCACACCCTTCTGTGCAGGCTGAGGCTGACCGAGGACGCCGCCCAGCGTCAGCCCTCCCTGGGAGGCCTTTGTGCCTAAGTCTTCTGCTGCAGGACACCCACCAGACCCCTCAGAGAAATGTCTGACTCGTGTTCTCACAGCCAAACCCCCCTATTTTTCTCATAATGGAGCCGACTCACAATGAAATTTAAAAAAAAAAAAAAAAGAAAAAGGAGTGAAAACCAAGTGGAAAAGAGTAAAGAAATTAGAAGTGCATTGGATGTGCCCAGGCCCCAGCCATGGGGTCTCCCCCATATCCCCCTTAATCCACTCCTGCCCCCCAGGAAGGATAGCAGCCACCTGCCTGTGCCCCTTGGGGCCACCCCATTCTCTCTGTCTCCCAGTGTCATTCTCAGAGACAGCAGCATGGGGTGGAGTCTCTGAGCCAGATGCCACCTCCAGCCTCACAGAGGTTCCAGAAGCTCACGCCAGGGCCCTGGGTGGCACCTGGCACCACCCCTTTCCTGAGGGCACCATGAGGCCTGGCTCCTACCCAAAGCCCCAGGTGGACACCAGCTGACAGAGGGATATCACCTGTCATCAGAGACGTCCTCTGTCATCACGGGAACTTCCTCCAGCTCCCCACCAGCCACCCTCCCCCCTCCACACAGACCCCCCGTACCCCCGCCCTCCACATGTGCAATCACCAGTGGGCATCCCTAGAAAACCAAACCAGTCCTCAGAAAGAATAAAACATCTGTTTTAATTGGCCAGTAAAATACATCGCAATTCATTAGTAATTTATAAACAGAAACATTAAGTTACAAACCCATGTTAAAAACTGCATTTCTGTGCAGCCTGAGAGCTGTGTGTCCCAAAGTTTATTTTTTACATTTTTCTCTACTATTTTTGTGACAACAAATAATGTTACTATCTGCCATCTAGATTAAGAGTCTGAAGTACAGTATTTCCAAACAAGAACAGAGAGAAACTGGTATAAGAACACAGTGAGCCGTGTGCTGGATTCGTGCTCCCTGGACATGCCGCCGGCAGCCCAGGAGGACACGGTCTGGGACAAGCTTCCCCGGCAGACAGTGCGAGGTCAGGCTGACGAGGTCTGCTTGCCCCCGCCTGTAGGATCCTCCCCACCCCAATAAAAAAGCAGCCCCGGCCACCACCCTGCACAGCTTCTGGGGGTTCACTGAGATGCAGGAGAGAAGCCACTCACACCCGCGGGACGTCCACACCTGGACTCACGGTGTCTGCTGCTTCAGCTTTGTCTTGGGGACCTCTAGTGGCCTTCTTGAGAAACGCAGCGTTCCCTTTTTATTTGTCCTACTGCGGCTTCCTCCCCTTTCCCGGGTATAGGTTCTGAGTTTATATCAAAGAGCTAATTAAAAACAGTCCTTTAAAAACATTAAAAAAGCTTGGAAAATACACATTTACATTTTTTAAATCGTTCCCAAACTTTCACAAGGAGTGGCAAACATGTGGGTTCTAGTTTTAAACCCCATTTCACAGTAAAACAACTTGTGCTTGAACTGGGGGTTCAGTGGACATCCAGAGAATGCTGGAAGCCGCCCTTCCCTGCCAGCAACCCGCAGAAGCGGCCCCGCATCCCAAAACACCAGGAGCATCTTCACACTGGGATTTCTGTGAGTTCTGCACATCCCAGCCACAAAACCGACCCTCCAGCCAGGCACAAAACCAACAGCTAAAGCTGAACAGGGAGACTGTCTGCCCCTCGGCACCGTACAGCAGGCTCGTAAGAAACAAATAACACTCTTAACGTCCCAAGCGGGATAAAGCAGAACGTCCAAGGCAGGCCCAGAGGCTACACAGGCACAGGGCCACGGAGACCAGCGGGGCAGAATGCCCGGGAGACGGAAGCAGCACCTTGCCGTGGACTGGACAGGGCCGTGGTGCCCCGACGAGGGCCAACGTGTGGTTATGGTACAAGTGTTTGCCTGATGACAATCCTCACAAAACCAAAGCCAATACAAAGACAAACGATTCTACGTCCCCAAAATGTGAGTTGGGTCACCTGCCAGTGGCAGAGAGCAAAGTGCACAAGGACCGCGGCAGTGGCTCCTGGACAGGGAAGCAGCGCAGTCTCCGCAAGTCTTAGCGCGCCCCTGGCTGGAGCGTGCAGATGAAATGTCGGTGCCTGTCACGTGCGCCCCTGTTCTCGTCTCTCTCAGACGTCAAATGGAATGAGGGGAGACCTCCGACTGCTGTCTGATGTAGTTCTGGAAACTCTTGTCCCCGATGGGGTGCTCCCTGAAACGGGGATTCGGGAAGAGGAGAAAATGAGGCACAGCCCCTGTGCCCCTGGGGTGTTCACCCGTACCTCGTGAGTCTTTTTGCCTATTTACACACGATACGTGTTCTTCATAATTGACATGAAAACATTCATAAGCAAAGGGAAGAACAAAGTTAGCACAAAGCCCTTCTGGAAGCACCCACTGCACACGTATGTAGTTTTGGACACACATATGTAGTTGTGTGCACACATGTACAGTGTGAGCTCTGGGACAGCACCTGGCATACTGCAGGTGGTTAGGACACCACTGGCTTGGTCAGGTCTCTCCTGGCCAGGCGCACCTGGGACCCTCCCAGTCAGGTGGATGCTCATGCACACCAGAAGCCCTGAGGAGACCCACCCGACCTGGAGCTCCCTGCAGCCACAGCCCTGCTGAGACCTCCATGCATCCATGCAACACCCACAGCCACACTCACTGGCTGCCATATCTCGTTTTCTTGAACTTGTCCCTCTTATACTGGGCGTGCTCCTGCTCCAGAGCTGCCACCCCAGCGATGATCTGCTTCAGTGTCTTGTAGGTCTCCTGGGGGTCATCAATGAAGAAGGTGGAGTACTCCTCCTGCTCGGGGCCATCGTACACGGACTTGCTCCCACAGGCCTCTGCAGCATCGAGGAGGTGAGGGTCAGCGTCTGGGACACTAGCCACCCCAGACCCGACCCTGCACATCCACGTAACTCCACCACAGCGCACGTTCTCCCAGAGCAACCTCCTCCAAGAAGGGGCTGACCACTCACATGTAAACGCACACATCACAGACGCCATCGTCGGCAGCGAGGGCCACTCAGACCAAACCCTGGGAAAGCCAGCGCCTTGCGGCCAGCATTTCTAAAGGGTCTGATGGTGCTGAGCCCTCCAGGGGGCCAGGCAAAGCCCCCAGCCCCGCTTCCAACCAGCCCTTCTCCTGGGGTAACCCACGTGTCCTTCCAATCCTGACCAGCTCACCCAACAGGACCAGGGAGAAGATGTCCACACATGGACGCTGGTTAGGGGCCTTGGAGCGACCCCAAAGGGTCAGTCTGTGGAGGGTGAGCACAATGAACTCAGGTCCTACTGGAACCTCAGCACCTCTTTCTCACCCATGCCCAGGACACATGCCCATCACTGGGGACATGCAGGCAGAGGGTGGACGGCCAACCTGCACTAGCAGCTTCTGGGGGCCCCTGCCCTCTGCCACCCCCACCTTCTAACCAGGTCTGACTTTCTAATAGGACATCACTCCTGCTGATGACCATTCTGTGGCTTCCTGCCATCAACAGGAATCATCCAATCACCTGAGCTGGGCACAGGGCTTTCCCCTACTGTCCCCAAACACCTGAGCAGCCCTTCCCCCACGTGTCTCCAAACACCTGAGCTGGGCATACTTCCCTTCCTCACTGCTCACAGGGCCCCGGCAGGTACCCCAGACTCCAGCACTCAATGCCCTGCAGTTTTGCCCACCTGTTATGGACTGAAATAAAATTCTGTGTTCCCCAAAATTTGTTGTTGAAATTCCAACCCACATGTGATGGTATCAGGAGGTGGGGCCTCTGGGAGATGATTAAGCTGTGAGGGTGGAACCCTCATGAATAGGATTAGTGATCTTATAAAAGAGGCCTGAGGAAGCTTGTTTGCCCCTTCCACCACATAAGGACATATGAAAAGTCAGCAGTCTGCAACCCGGAGGAGCCCTCACCAGAACCCAACTACGCTGCACCCTCATCTAAGACTTCCCAGCCATCAGAACTGTAAGAAGTAAACTTCTACTGTTTATAACCACTAGGTCTATGGTATTTGTTATAGTAGCCCAAACTGACTAAGACAGAAATTGGTACCAAGAAGTGGGGTGCTGCTGTAACAAATACCAACAAATGTGGGAGCAGCTTTGGGACTGGGTAAGGGGTAAAGGCTAGAAGAGTGTGGAGGTGCATGCTAGAAAAAGCCTGCATAGCCATGAAGAGTCCTTAAAGGGTGATTCTGGTGAGGGTCAGAAACAGAGAAGGAGAGCTGTACAGAAAGACTCAGTCTTCTTAAAGAATGCCCACATAATCCTGAACAGAATGTTGGTAAGAATATGGATAGTAAAGGCCATTCTGATGAGGTGTCAGATAGAAATGAGGAACATGTCATTGTCTTCTTAAAGAATGCCCACATAATCCTGAACAGAATGTTGGTGAGAATATGGATAGTAAAGGCCATTCTGATGAGGTGTCAGATAGAAATGAGGAACATGTCATTGGACGAGAAAAAGCAATCCTCATTATAAGGTGGCAAAGAACTTGACTGAACTGTGTTTCTGTCCAGCGTTTTGTGGAAGGCAGAACTTGCTAGTGATGAAATTGGATACCTAGCTGAGAAGATTTCCAAACAAAGTGTTAAAGGAGCCTCTTGGTTCATCCTGATTGCTTA